ACCCCTATAGCACCTGGGGTACCCCTATAGTGCCTGGGGGTGATCCCTGTAGCACCTGGGGTACCCCTATAGTGCCTGGGGGTGACCCCTATAGCATGGGGGTGACCCCTTTAGGGCCTGGGAGGCACCACAGGGATGGGGGCGCTGTCTCTGTGGTGCTCCCCCAGGGCTGTGTGTCCCCTATAATGTGTCCCCTCCCTGTCTATATGTCCCTAAAGTGGCCCCTCCTCTCAAGGCTATATGTCCCTATAGCATCCCATCCCCCTCAGCTATATGTCCCTATAATATAGTGCCCCTCCCAAGGCTGTATGTCCCCATAGTATGTGTGTCCCCAGAGCTATATGTCCCTATAGTGTCCCTTCTGGGGCTGTATGTCCCTATAATGTCCCCCCCCCAAGGCTACATGTCCCTGTAGTGCCACCCCAGGGCTATATTTCCCTATACAGTGTGTCCTGTATGTCCCTATAGTGTTCCCCCCTCAACGCTATATGCCACTATAGTATGTCCTTCTTGGGACATATGTCCCTATAGTGTGTGTCCCCTCCCCAGCTATGTGTCCCTATAATGCCCCCCTTCATGGCTGTGTGTCCCTATAGTGTCCCCCCAAGGCTATACATCCCTATGGTGTCATTCCCCCTTCCCAGACTCTATGCCCCTATAGTGCCCCCCTGCCTCTACGCCCCCATAGCCCCCCCAATGCTCTATGTCCCTATAGTCCCCATAGCCCCCCCAAGGCTATGTCCCCATATGTCCCCAGAGGTGCCCACCATGGCGCGCAGCTCCTGCGCGCGGCTGTCGAGGTCGTTGAGGCGCCCGTCCCGCTCCAGCGCGCGCGTGAAATTCTGCTTCATCAGCTCCGTCACCTCCTCGGCCTCGCGCTGACACCGCGCCAGCCCCGCCTGGGGACACCAGGGATGGGGGGACACTGGGGATGAGGGACATTGGGGAAGGGAAGGGGCGCCATGGGGACACTGGCACTGCAGGGACCATGGGGGTGAGGGTGCTGTGAGGAGGGGG